AGATAGATAGATAGATAGATAGATAGATAGATAGATAGATAGATAGATAGATAGAAAGTTGATACAAGGAAGACGTTTGATAAAAATCAGTTCAGGCAATCAAAATTGATCTGCAACATAACCAGAATGGCTTTTAGTTGGACGAATTATAATATGTGAGACGTGCTGACGAAATGAGTTACTTCTCGCAATCCAGAAATGGAGATATTGGCCAAAAATCAACATTAGGGTCAAATTTGTAGATTTTTATATTGATGCCATTTTCTTTAAGTATAACATGCCTCTTATTATTTCATACATATAAATTGTAAAGACTTCACCTCTAAGCTTGATGTATCTATTTCCATGGGTCTCGAATCCAAGAAGTAACTCATTTTGTTAGCACGCTTCACATATAGCCATACTAAGTAACACAGAAATGTTTCAACCACTGTCGTAACTTGTCCCCAGGTTGGTTCCCAGGCCCTGTCATTTTCGGTGCGATCACGGACAGCACATGCCTTCTTTGGAAAACGACCTGCTCCGGTGCGTTCGGCGCATGCGCACTCTACGACATTGACGTCATGAGGTACCGGTATCACGGGATGCAGATGGGTCTCCGAGCCGTCACAATCTCCCTGCAAACGATAGCGCTTCTGTACGCCACCTTCTCCAAAAAGGTTGTGTTCCAGCCTCATACAGACGAAACGACAACGGTCGGTGTTGACAGCGGTCATGTGATGACAGAAAGCCACAAGGCTGGACAGATTACCAGTTTGAACACGACAGACAAAGAGATGAAAGCTTGAAACTGTCGTGTTGTGAGTCGTTCACGGCTTTGAAAAACAATCCCCTGAAGCTTTCGTCTTGTAAGATGTTGACAGCTTTGAGGAAAACCTTTAAAAGTTGGGGGGTGAAACTTAAACTTGCCCACCCCCTGTTCTCCCCCTTTCACCCCCGTACTCCATCCCATGCGGAGCTTCCTCGGCCTGGTGAACAAATCAGGGGTTTCTATTCTCCATGGGGTCAGGCTGGGATTGCAGTGACGTCTTACCAGAACGACCCATTTAAGAATCGGGGTCCATATAATCCTTTATCACATTAAGGTTTGACCCTCGCCAATTTTTTTCCTATTTTTTTAAGACATCGAGAAAGAAATCCTTGATTCGATTCTGTGGTCTAGTGGTTAGGCTCTCGGATTCTCCGCCGTAAGGTCACGAGTTTATACCCAGTCAGGAGTCCGACGTTGTATATTAGGAAAGGGGAGAATTAGTTAACTGGTTAAAGACAGCGAAAGGTTTTACCAGCTTGTTAGTGTTTTAGCGCGTGTAATCCACAGCTTGCACTGTATACGTCCCCCAAATCCGAGAATGCTTCTTAGTTGTGTTCTAGGGTCTGCTGCGGAAATAATGTATCGTTGTCAAGCGCATAGAGCACGCTGCAGTGCTCAAATATGCGTTACATAAACGCAATTAATGTAATTTCTTATTTTATAAATATTTAGACATGCACGGGTGTCTTGGGGGTCATACCCATGAGCTAAATCCCGTTTATTTTAATGTGAGATTGAACACCTAAATCGAAAATGAATCTCTACGTCCAAGAAAGCTGTTACGCTTTTCTACACAATGCCCATGACTGTACTCCACATGTAGAGTTAAATTCGCTAAAATGTGATACAATTTGTCTAAAATTTCACCTTAAACATAATATGGAACGTTTGAAACAATATCTCCTCTCCTTATAACCCTATTGGGCTCGTAAAAATAAAAATGCCAGTCCGAGGGGTTCGAGACTCAGCTTGGACCGATTTTGTGTTCTTGGAAAAGGGCATTTTAAACGAATTTTCCCATTTGGTTGGGTTTTATGAAAGGTGAACGTTAAATTCAGAGGCCCCGCCTCCTGAAGAACCTTTCAGCAATGGAAAGAACTGACCTACTTTTGCAATTTTTAACAGGCCTACTTTAGCCAAAACGCTAGCATTATGGCGGTATAATGAGAGATATCTTGCGATGTCTCTTGCATGACCATTTTATAAAAAGCGCAATCAATACTCCTTTAAACATTTCTACTATTGTTACCAAAAACGTTGTTGATTAGTAGAATTGATCTTTCAACAGTTCTCGTCACCAACGACGTTTTTTTTTACAATGATTTTGTAAATCAGTGCAGTATCAGTAACTATTCCATTTCTGAAGCCAGCAACCTTCTTAAACATGTTGATTTGAAGAAATAACTCTTTCTTCTTTTATTGCCTACGATTTTGCCGACAACGACTTTGTTAACAAATTTGTTGACCAGTAGAATTAACCCCTCCACTTCCATCGTCAATGTCTTTGTTGAAAACGACTTTGTTGACAACGAATTTATTGACAACGAATTTATTGACAACGAATTTATTGACAAAGATTTTGCTGACATAGCGCCCACTAATTCGTTACCCTCCCTTTCCAGTTCCCAAAGGTAACTTTATTTAAAATGGCAACTGACCCTGCTGATCATAATGTTACTAATTATTATTGTCATTACCAAAGATTATTTTGCTTAAAATAGCGACTTAGCCTGCTAATCATGTTACTAAATATTGTTTTCTAATAATCGTGATATACATTCCATAATTAGAATTTGCCTTGTCTGTATGTAAATAATGAAAAACACGAAATGGAAAACGTTCGTCGTAATGTCAATGTTTTAGATTGTCGCAACGCAGTATGACTGTTCAACGTGAGATGTTACAAATTCCCGTTCTCCCTTTTTTTCTTTTTTTTTTTTGTCTTGTACCCTTTTCTGACCAACCGGTGGGTGCTCGATTAGCTCAGTTGGTAGCATGCGCAACTACCGAGCTGATGACCCCGGTTCTAATCCCAGACAGGGCGTTCTTAAACTCAGGTTGTTTTGTGGAGTTTTCAAAGCTCCCAATCTATTTAACTCGGTCCTATCGGAGACGGACGTTAAATTCGGAGGTTCCACCTCTAAGATAACAAAGTAACGTTGATAGAGGCGGTAAATCAGTGACCCTTACTTACATTCTCTTTTTTTTAGGCATAACGCTCACAATGCCTCCCCAGTAATTCACTTACTATATCGTTCATTATCAATTTAACATTTCTGTTCCCCAAAAGCGATGACCTGTTTTTGTACAATTGTGAGCATTTTTATCGTGTGTTGAGGCGTGTATGTGGGTGTGTGTATGGGGTGGGGGGGCTGAGGGGTGGGGGTGGCAGAAGGCCGTGGCTAGGTGTGTAAGTGTGTAAGTGTGTATCTGAGAAGGTGTGTATGCGTTTGGAAGAGGGGATTTTAGAGAGTTATTTGTACGTGTGTGAGAGACAGAGACGGGGTGGAAGAGGGTGTGGGTCTGTATACTGACGGTAAGTACACATTTGAGTGTAATGTGTGTACATGTGTGTGCATTTGTGTGTTAATGTGAATTTGTGTGTGTTTGTGTGAGCATCCGTCTGTGTCTGTATGTATATATATATGTATATATGTATATAT